GCAGCGCGCCTGGTGGGACCCTGGAAGGCCGGTGGGGTACTCAATCTCTCTGACTCTCCCTCTTTGGAAGCTTTCAGTGGCCTCTTCCCCTGTCCATGGAAGATGTTACCGAGCCACGACCACATATGGCCCTAGATTCAGTCATTTCTTGGTAAGAAATGAATTCCTTTTTTTCTTAAGCATTTTGGAGTTGAATTTCTGTCACAAGCAGCCAGTCATATAGCCTGATTGATACAGTAGGCAGTAGGACCACACTATAGATAGCGTTAAGGACAGACAGTCCTGGGACGAGCGCAAGGGGCAGACAGCAGCGTGTTTGTAAAGGAGTTGTATTCAAACATGCAAGTAGGAAGGAGTACCACTTACTTCACAGAGTACTTGCTGGATTGGCTGAAGTTTTTGCAAGGTTACATCTGTTATTCCTTAACATTTCATGGAAGACCGAAGAAGTGCCAGCACACTGGGAAAAGAGCCAACATAAAATGGTTATGTAATAAAAGGTAAAGGTTTAGTTCTGAAAATTAAAGACCCATGAGCTCAACTTTTATAGCAACGAAAAAATTTCCAAAGTGAATAAATAATATGAATAGAATAAAATAGTGACTTTACCCAAACTACATTTCCTCCCAGGGTAATCTAACGATTATTAAAATCCCGACAAAAGGTAGGTAAATTGTATCTGTGGATCGAACCTGGGACCCTAGATCCCTGGGAGAATAGGTACTGAACCAAACCCAAGAAACCATGGCAAGACTGGAATCTCAGATAGGAGTAAAGGAGTAGAGATCGGAGCTGGGGACATACCTGGAACCAGGAGCCTAAAGCCAAGGGCATTAAGATCAGCTAAGATTTTAATGGCATTTTATGACCCTTAAAAAGTTGAATTTTTGAAATATGGGCCTATGAAGATTATTCAGTTCTTCTGATATACTAAGATGACAGTATCATTTCTTCATTCTTTATTTACTCATTCACCAAGTACCTAACACTTTATTTTTGCAAGGAAGCTTACTAGGAATAAAGAAAATAAAAATGATGGAGTTGGTTCAGTATCTCCCTGATAATAACAGCAGAGTTGGAAAGTGTTTTGATGAAGATCTAATCAGTACTGCATTTTCTATTTTTAAAAAAGTTATCAAAAGAGTAACGGTTAAAATGTAACTAAGTCTTGATTACTCTGAGGATTTGGTGTAAGTTCGGAGAAAAATTCAGAGAAGATTAATGTTTTAAGACAGCCCTTTTAAGCATGATTTGGCTTTCCGTTGGCTTTCTTTTTTAAAACTTACATCTTAAGCATTGTTCCAGCTTTGATGGAAGATCTCAGATTTCCTGAAGTATTTTTTAACTTACTGGTTTATACAATTTCAAAATATTCTTGCTAAGCAGTGCCTCGTTCTTAAACTAAAAGAGCCATCTTTTATCTGCAATTTGGTTTTTGTCATAGTCCAAGGCAAAACATACATAAAAATAATGAGAAAAAATTATTTTGGTCTTTTCACTGATTGCCTTCGATTTTTACTTACCTTGTAAATCAGTAAAATGCTATTCTTTCTACACCACTCCACTTTCTGTGGCTTTCCATTATTGTATCTGTTCCTTTGCAACATAACTCATTAAATAAGCTTCGTTTGAAGATCTCTGACAAGCTTACTTTTCACTTATGAACTTAATGTCAAGCAACCGATTCAAACACATTTTAAGCAATAACTAAATAATTCCCTTACAGCTATATACAGGTGCTTACAAGATGAGTTGTGGGTGGTTAATTTATTCATCTGTTTGTTCAGCAAATTACAGAGTAATCATTGAACAATGAGCTGCAGTAGGTTAAAGTAAGGTAAAATACCACTTAATGCAAGACATGTCTCTGCTATCAAATTTGAACCTAATTGCTGGAAGAGACAAATCTTAGTATTGAACATGAATATCTCAATACAAGGTATTCATGAATTAGATTAGGTTATATGAACAAACTAAGGAAGTCTGAGTGGAGAAGATGCAACCTAAAAATGGTTAGGATTTTTGATGAGGACTGAGAGGAGACATTAGGAATGAAGGGGACAATGTAAGTAAGGGCTTCAATACAGCGTGTATTCAGGGAAGGTAGAGCAGGGCATCTTGGCAGGAGCAGATCCTTTACACTGGCAAACAGAAACGGAAGCCTTGAGTAGTGAAAGTACTTTGGCATTATGAACGCCAGGTGCATGAGTTTAGAGTATTTCTGTGGCCCAGTGGCCTCCACTTCATTCTCAGCCTCTCCAGCTTATCCTCAAACTGCTGCCAACATGATTGCCTTAAAAGACAAAGTTAACATATAACTCCCCTATAGAAGATGTCTCAGCAGCTCTCAGGGGATGTTAGCAGGACGCGGGTCCCTAAGTCTTCTCAGATATGGGTGATTGTGGCCAGGTGGGGCACCAGTGATGCTTTGCCTGGCCTTCTAAGGAACTATCAGGGTAAACAAGACCCCTCTTTGGTCTGGGAAACAGTCTCAGAGAGAGTTAGAAAAACAGCACCTGGAACCCATGATGACATGGCAAATAGGATGAGCAGTATCTCTGGGGACTAATTGAATTCCTGGGACACTTTCAAGTTAAGGGCTCAAACAAACCATCATTAACTGTCAAATTCACATTGTCAATGCATTTAATTTCAGCAAAACAGCATCCATTATATTAAATTTACATTCAGGAATGAGGGTGATGTCTCATGATTTTAAACTTAGCACTTTGGAAGGCTAAGGTGGGAGGATTGCTTGAGGCCAAGAGTTCAAGGCCAGCCTGAACAACACAATGAGACCCTGTCTCCACAAAAAATAGAAAAAATTAGGTAGGTGTGATGCCTGTAGTTTCAGCAACTTGGGAAGCTGAGGCAGGAGGATCACTTGAACCCAGGACCTTGAAAAACCCAATAAGCTGTGACAATGCCACTGCACTCTAGCTTGGGTGACAGAGAAGGATCCTGTCTCAAAAGATCAATCAATCAATCAGTTTACATTCAAATTTATACATTATATTCCCATTTTAACTTCATTTTTTAAAAAAAATTATGTTGCATATGGTAGAACATAGAGATGGGTGTGGGCATATGGCATTATCTAATCTAGTTTTAAAATCATCTCTGTAAGACAGTTATTTCCCACATTACAAAGGAGGAGACCAAGGGGTCAGAAGGTTCGAATAATTTATGCAAGCTTTTACCCCAGTGAAGTGGCAAATTTGAGATTTTAACCCAGTTCTGTTTAATGGCATTTCCTCTGCACACAAAGATTCAGAAGTCATCTTTAGAAACATGAAAGTAGAATTTCTGGATGACCCTTCTAAAACATACAAGCAGAGAAATACCAGCACCTAGACTTAATCTGCAATACCTATTTATGGGCTGGGTCACTTCGTAAGAAAACTGCAGATTCTGGTCTTACTAAATCAAGCAGTTATATTCACTGATTCTTCAAATGGTCTCTCATCCCCTTGAGTCTGTGATCACTTACTTGATTTCTTCTGCTCCCTAAGCATTTCAAATATCAAGAGTTAAGTTGAAACAGTGAGGAACTCTTTCTCATATGGAAAGAAATGACTTGTATAGTGAAATTTTCGTATTTCACTAAAACAACGAAAGCCATCTTCAAGTACCATTCTTACTGCTGCTTTTTTTTTTCTTTTTGTGTAAACCTCTTTCAAAAGTAAACAACAGCAGCAACGAAACCCAACAAAATTTGGCCCTGGCCCTCCTTGATGTTTAAGCCAGATCTGTGCTTAGTTTTGTCCAAACCAAGGAGAAGCAGTCAGCTGGTCCCAAGCCCTTCACAGTGCTAAAGAACAATGAATGGAGAGTTTCAAAATTAAAACCATACGTTTCATAGGAAACAGCTCCAACTGGTGCTTGATTACAAACGAGGTGTTCTGCTTCTAATATGATTTGGACAAGCACAGAAAACCCTGCAGGCGTGGATGGAGAGATGTTTCCCTTCCAGGAAGAAAAAAAGGTAGCATCAGATGCGTTAAGATCACCGTGATTCTGGACACCATCAAAACCCAGGGCATTGAGGGGGTTCTCAATTTTATGGCTACACAGGGAGCCCTTTGCTTTCCCAGGAATCCTCTCCAGAGGGAGAGGCTTTGTGTAGAATTTTCCTGACTGCAATGAATGTCAGCACATTCCCAGCTAGAACGCACATTCTATTCTTATGGAATGAAACTGACCTCCCTGCCCCAGCATGCTCTCCTTATTCATCACCGTGATTAATTTCAAGTGCGCAGTCATGCAGGTTTCTAGATGAATTGCGCAGTCCACTCCAGATGGCAAATATGTACCTCTGGAATCTCCTCACCCTTAGGAGAGAAGATTTTAAATAGTTGGCTTACAATCAAATCTGCATCCTACAAAACTCCCTGCCCAGACAAACCTCTCAATTTGCAGCTGGCTTCCATCCGCCCCTTCCTACTCATTTTCTATGTGATACCATGTGATTCAAGTGGGAGTCACAACTGAAGTGAAAATGTTTACTGCACAATTCAAGATTTTACAGTATCTTTTTCAGCCAGTGGAAGCAACCAGGATTCACGAGCCCCTAAAGTGAGGTTCAGTAGGACCCTGGATCATGCTTATGCACCAGATATTTCCAAATTAATAGCCCTGGCACATGCTGCTGAGCTTCCTCTAGTGAACAGAAGTTTTATTCCATTCGTCATCACTGTCAAAGGGAATAAAATATGCAAAATAAGAGTTGTTCAGAAACTGCCCTTTTGTGTGTGCACTTCTGTATCAATGTTGGTTCAACATGGCTTGAACACAGATTTCCTCCCCAAAACTTGTCTGGAGTCCCTAAGTGGTTCAGATCGTGAAAAATGAGTTAATTCGCATTTCTACCATGTCCCTTCTCAATGTTAAGTTTTGTTAAGTTTTTTAATTGAGACATTTTCTTAGGATTCAAAGTTAAAAAAAAAAAGGAAATTTCTCTTCTGTGCCTGCATCAGGGCAGTCCAAGTCCACATACCCACACAGACAAATGAGTGCCCGACTCCGTCCACTCTGCTTTGTACCCACAACTGTCGCCTCTAGGAGCCTCTGCTGAGGTTTCCATGGAGCTGTGGGGAAGAGTTTGTTTGGAATCTTCAGAGCATTTGTAGGGGTGAATGTGGACAGACACAATCCAAAGGCTGAGTCTGGGGGGGAAGGTGGGGGTTTCCCATCCAGCAATGTCCTGGCTCTCACAATCATCATTGCCTTGTTACCTGCAATCCCACAAATTCAATTCGTGACAATACACGTTCACTGTGCCCTGGGAATTCAGAGTGTACTAGAAAAGAGGCCTCATCTTCAAGAAGCTCACAGTCTAATGGGGAAGATAGGAACTTTGCAATAAGCTAACTCTGTCTGAAAGTAGTGAAAGAGGCACTGTGGGAGGTATTTTGAGCTAGATGTTGAAGGCTCAGGGGGAGATTGCTAAACACAGAAGGGAAGGTTGAGGGAATCCCATTTGCTCTGTTAAGAGGAAGGGTATGCAAGGAGGCTGAAGCCCACAGGAGAGGAAATGAGGCAGGCAGGGCCAGGCCAGGAGGCCGTGGTGTCTTAAACCAAAGGATAAGGTGGTGTGATTAGCAAAGGTGATGGAGAGATTTTAGAGGGAAGAGATCCCTGGGAGATTTTTGCCATAGTCCTGGCAAGTGCTGATGAAGGCCTAGACTAAGGCAGTGACTGCAGGATTGAAAAGGGAAAATTACACCCAGGGCATTTTGGGGGAGGAACTGAGAAGATTGGGTATGGGCTATGAGGGAGAAATCCTCAGAGGTTTCCAGGTTGGAAGACTAAGCTGATGGAGGCAATTCTGAAGGAGTTTCTCTCTCTCTCTCCATCTGCTTGTTTCTCTTGCTGTCTCTGTCTCTCACTGTCTCTGTTCTATTTTTCTGCCTACCTTTGTTTTTCTCTGTGACACTTTGTCTTTTTTTTTTTTTTTTTTTTGAAACACAGTCTCCATCTGTCATACTCTCAAACTCTTGGGCTTGAGCAATTCTCTAATCTTAGCCTCTCAAGCAGGTGGGATTACAGTTAGTTTTTCTATTTTAGTAGAGATGGGGTCTCACTCTTGCTCAGGTTGGTCTCAAACTCCTGAGTGAAGGCAGTCCACCTGCCTCAGCCTCCCAGAGTGCTAGGATTACAGGCATGAGCCGCCTCGCCCACCCCACCTCTGTCTTTGTCTCTCACTCCCTCATGGTGTCAGCTTCTCTCTCCACATCTGTTCCATTCTTCTCTGTCTTACAACCAACTTCATCACCATCCACATTTATTCTGCTCCCTGGTAACGCCTCAAAAGCTCCAGGTGCCTTGGATGTTCTACAGCCCTCACTCAATCCCACAAAATTCTCTTGCTTTCCATTCCACTGTTCATTATAAAATTCGATCCATGTTTTTTTGTTGTTGTTCAAATTTCCAGTAAAGAAAATGGAATGAGAGGTTAAGTCTGGCTCCTGCTCTCCATTGAGCTCCGTAGAGACACACTGGGGCAAGTGAAAGCTGTTAAGCACCAGCTGACTCAATGCTTAGCTCACAAAAAATTCCTAATCATGGGCAAAATGAAGCTGGGAGGTAAATGTCATCACATGAATTTTTTGTTCCAACTTGCTGGGAGAAATACACAAAGAAACATCCAAATTCTTGACTTAACTTCTCAAGCGTTCTAAGAAGTGGAAGGCCATGTTTGCTAAAGAGATAGGAAAATTTGAAGATGCAGCAAAGGCAGACAAAGTCCATGATGAAAGAAAAATAAAAACCTATATCTCTTTTAATGGGGTCACAAAAAAGAAGGTCAAGGACCCAAACATGCCCAAGATGCCTCCCTTGGTGTTTTTTTCTCTTGTTCTATTCTGAGTTATCACCAAAAAATCAAAGGGGAATATCCTGGCTTATCTGTTGGTGATGTTGTAAATAAACCAGGAGACATGTGGACTAACACTGCTGTGATGACAAGGTGGCTTATGCTGAGCTGAAGGAGCCATGCAAAAGGGTTGCAGCTGTGCATCAAGTCAAAGGAAAGCCAGACGCCACAAAAAGGGAGCTGTCAGGGCTGGAAAGAGCCAGCCAGAAGAACAAGGTGATGGGGCTGAGCATGATGATAAATAAGTTGGTTCCAGTACAGCTTTTTCCTTATCTGTTCAGTATCCTTCTCTGATACATAACTCCTTTGAAAGAAAAGAATTGGAAGGTAAGGTTGTCTAACGTTTGTTTTTAAACTGTACAGTTTCTTTGTCTGTAGTTCACACACTACTGCATGCGTCTTTAGATTGCCTTGTCCTGGTGATATTTTCCATCGCCCCTAACCTTGCCTAGTATAATATGAGGGCTGCAAATTGGCCTGGAAATTCAAAGCAGGTTCTTGGTGGTGCACAGCACAAGTAGTATTTTTGTCTTCATATAGGGTCTCTCCTTAACCCTAAACGAAATAATTTTTCTGTTAATTCAGTGCCACTCTGAAATTGCAAAAAAAAAAAAAAAAAAAATCTGGCTCTTTTGTTGACATTCTGAATGCTTTTAAGTAAATACAACTTTTTTATTAAAAACCTTTCTAAAAAAAGAAAATCTAATGAGACAGAAGCTTTTGTCCATGCTGGTCCACAGTCATTCATTGCTCTGCTTCTCCAAATAGCCTGAGGGTTTAAAAAAAAAAAAAAAACAATACTTGAGCCCATCCAAGACTCACTAAATCAGAATCTTTGAGAATGATTTTTTTTTTTAAGTTCCAGTGGTGATAATGATGCATAAATAGGACCGAAACCACTGCATTAGGTGACAAATCATTCCTTATCATTCCTGGAGAGGATTTTGGGCCAGCTGTTCATAGCTATTCCATTTTCAACCAGAGATGGGGAAATATGGTCTCAGAGATAGAGTCATTCTGTTCAAAGCATGACCATCCAGGGACTAGGGAAGATCATTTTAGAACAGCTGTGGTTGGGCGGTGCCTGTGGCTCAGTGAGTAGAGTGCCAGCCCCATATACCAAGGGTGGCAGGTTCGAACCCAGCCCCAGGCAAACTGCAATGACAAGGACAACAACAACAACAACAACAACAAAAATAGCTGTGGTCGTACAGGCACCATGAAATACAGTAGAGCCTGTGTGGTTGACTACCTCCCTACGTTGACCATCTCCTTAAGTTGATCAAAGTTTCATAGGCCAGACATGCACCATGTGTACATATCAGTACAGTAGGCCTAGTTCCTGATGTTGACCACCTCTGTATGTTGACCAGTTTGTCACAGTCCCTTGGGTGGTCAGCTCACAGAGGTTGCGGTGTGTTGCTATAGTAGTGCTGTGAGGAGCACATGTTTAAGTTGCAGTTATAGAACCCCCTATGATGAGTTCTAGGGCAGAACGTGAGGAGGGGCCTCTTATTCAGATGGGAAGAGTAAGGGGAAGTTTTCCTGGAGCAGTGACATTTGAACTGAATCTTGGGGAAATGTTAATTATTAGTAAGATGAAGAAGAAGAGAAATGGGCTGCAGGCCGATCAAGCTGCAGATCCAAAGCAGAGATGGAGGTTTATAAGGCATCAGCATTGTCCCATCTTTCCTTTCAAACATTTTCCCAAAACTTGAAGAATCTAGGGCTCTAATCTATGGCCCCAAATGATTTTTATAATCCTAAATATTTTTCTACATACCGCTCAAGCAAATGGACCCAGGAAGCGAGCAAATGCCATGTGATGGTGACAGAGATGTATCTTTGCCCAGGTGGAATATTGTGGCTGTGTGGGAGGGCTCAGTCCCCTGGTAGACCCACTCCTTGTTGTCACGGATGCTTCTATGACCTAGAGCAGGGCCGAACCAATCACAGACCTGGGTTAGTGCTCCCTGCAAGCCTCCTCATCAGGAGGGCCCTGACTTCTGTCCTCAGAGGCCGCAGAAGCCAACAGGGAAGGTAAATCCCCTTTGGGAAGGGAGATTCCTAAGGTTGTTTTGATGAAGTCTCTGGACTCAGGAGATGATAAAGTCACCCAGGGACAATGTCCCACTGCTGATGCTCTGTTTGTTTTAGGATCCCTTCCAGTGGGAAGATGGAAGGCATCATAAAATAGTTCACATACTGCTTGGCGCCGGTAGCTCAGTGGTTACGGTGTTTGTCACATACACCACGCTGGTGGGTTCGAACCCAGCCTGGGCCAGCTAAGCAATAATGACAACTGCAACAGAAAAATTGCAACCGGGCGTTGTGGTGGGCGCCTATAGTCCCAGCTACTTGGGAGGCTGGGGCAAGAGAATCGCTTAAGCCCAAGAGTTTGAGGTTGCTATGAGCTGTGACATCGTGGCACACTACCTAGGGTGACATAGTGAGACTCTCAAATAAAATAAAATAAAATAAATAAAATGGTTCACATCTGTTCAAACGGAGAAGTATTTTATTGCTGGTGCTTCGACCCTTCGACCTTTTGACCCCTACTTCCCAAGGACAGTAGGTTTTAGCACAGCACATTACAGTGATCTTGTCCTGCTTTGCCCAGGACTAAGATGTCTCTGAGAGCACTCACCTTTCAGTACTAAACACAGGAAAGTTTTAGGAAATCAGGACAAACTCATCTTCTTACTCCAATCCAACACACCACAAAAACGCAGAGGGTTAACTGACCTATAACGCTAGGACGGGAGGCTGCTGTGGGAATTCACAGAGAACAAGTCTATTTCATGTATTTTAAATGTACTCTTTAATAGCCATGTCAAAGCTTTTACATTATTCCTGTCACAAACTCAACAAATACATTCATCTAAATACAAAAAGAAAATCCACAAATAATCCCGTTGAATATATTTAAATATTCACCGACTGCCTATGATGGTTCATTTTGTGTCAACTTGGCTAGCTAGGCATAGTACCCAGATATTTGTTCAGACACTATTTTAGGTGTTTCTGTGGAGGTATTTGTAAGACAAAATTAACATTCTAATCAATAGAGGTTGAGTAAAGCTGATTATCCTCCATTCATGTACATGAGCTTCATCTAATCGGTTGAAGGCTTTAATTGAAAAAAAAAAAAAAAAAAGACTGACTTCCCCTCATGAAGAGAAGCTCCTGCCAGCAGCTGGGTTTCAG